TAGGCAAAAAGTAACATTAGCATAAGGAGTCTAAACTTTGGATTGCTCTCCTGACCAAACTATGTGGACCGTATTTCCCAGATTGTGGCTACCCCATATATTTTGGAGGTCACAAATCCGAATACGTCGAGAAAAAACAAGTTTGTTCTGAAAAAGAGCGTTTTTGTGTCTGATTTCGTAACTTAAAACATCGAACATATTTGATGACATCCCCTCGAACCATTAAGATTGAGTCCTAGAACGGGACTATCCGATCATTAGTTCAAAAGTTAATCAGGATGGTCCGTTTTCTTTGTTGTTGTTGTTTTTTTGTTTTCATTGTTGTTGTTTTTGTTTTCGTATTGCACACAGTACAAAAAAGTTGTTTTCATGGGTTCCGTCATCGTGTTAGCATACCTATGCACACACTAGTAATTCTATGAAACATTTCTCGGTATAATGCTGACAATTGATTCCTTAACGTCGTAAACACAAACTAATCGAACTATCAAAAAGTTCGGTGAGCACCAGCTAATCTCAGAAATTAAGATGACGCATGCGGAATACAAATCATGTCGCTACCACAAACCAATGGTTTCGAAATTATGGAACCTTTGTAATTTCCTTGACCAACAACTAGTTGTTGTGGTAGTAATTTAATTTTTTGTACCCTTCTAGCCACTACTTTTTACCATATTTCTAGGACAGAGGTAAATTCCGAATTGAAGGAACAGTTAGTTTTTAGAGGTATTCCAGTGTCTAATAATACGTTTGCATTCATAATTTTGAAATCTACATAGTTAATTCCTTTTAATTTATATATATATATATATATATATATATATTTACAATAAAGATTTATTTTATATTTTATGCCACTGTCTTCACCTTTTTAATGTTTGCTTTTTAATTTATTCATAATTTGATGATTTGGTGGTCTTAAATTTTACAAACTACTTGAAAAAATAGAAAAAGATTTTTAACTCCTATTCTCAACACGTTTCAATTGAGGGATTTATTGAAACTTTTATGAATTTACCACGAAAATAAAAAAATAACAAAAAAGTTTAACTTATAAAAAATGTGTGAAGACACGCTTTTATGATTCTCAAAACGTGTTTTAAAATTTATGAAGTAACTTGTCTAGAAAAGTGTGAAGCATCTTGGAACATTAGAAATTTCTATGAGTGCCATGGCAACACTAACAATATTCTTATTTCATCTATGGTCTTAACACATACATGATACAACTGTGACAATTAGCTTTGGAATAATTGACTTGGCGAGAGAAAGAAATTTTATTCGTCAAAAGTAAATGATTTTTTATTTTCTAAAAAGGAAATTATGAAGCTTTTCTACTGAATTTTATTTGAGTATAGAAAAGAGGAGTTTAAAATGTGTTAGCTATAAGAATGTATTGATAGTGCATTTAAATTGATCAATATTTTAATTTTATTTCAACCATGTGAAATAGTAAAACTGTAGTTTGGCACATGATCGACGGTACAATATATTTATGATCTTTAAAATTTTTGTATCCATTAAGCCTTTGTAATCTTTTAAATACTGGAAGTCTTATACAATATTATCAAGTAACAATTTTTATTATTTACTTTAATTAATATATTTTAAGTTAGGTGACAGTGGACTTGCGTACTTTTTTAATTTCTTTGAGTACATTTTTAATTCAAGGCCTTTAAAAATGAAACTTTTGGTTGACAGCATAAATATAGGCTCAAGTTATCTAAATATTTGTCCAAGATTGATGTTTGAATCAAAGCGTATCCCCCAAAGTTCAAAGTTAAGCATTTGACGCAAATGGGACATCGGCAATATCCGGTGTCCCTTTCATACATTTTTTACGCTAGAATTACAATTAAAAATATTGTTTTATTTATAAAAAAAACAGTCTAACAGTTACTAAAAAAATCTTTTAGATTATAATAATTATATTTGTACTAAAATATAACAAAAGTAGTTTGAAAAAAGTTTTTAATTTATATTCAGAAATGTATTAATTATTGATTGCGTAAATTAAAGAAATTTCAATGGTGAACAACTGTTTCTCTTGGATCTAAATAACTATAAATAAGTGAAAATTTGAAAAATTACTGTTTGATTTTACCTTTAACTTAGAAAAAGACACCATTGTATTTAATAACCGTAACACTGCTAAACTTTTCACTTATTTTGACATAAAACAAAATAATGAAAAGAGTATGAAAAGTATGTTTTATAAAAATTCTTCCTCAAAGGGTTAAATATGCAGTTGCACCTTAGGAACAGTTAGCACTTTCTTCTTGAGTAATACACTAAATTTTATTTTGAAACTCTTGTGTTCAAAAAAACCATTTTTTAAAGTAACATGATTATGTATTTTAATATTGTCTGATATTATTAGAAATCATTGTCGAAATTAGAAGTTAAACAGTGGAATATGTTCCAATACACAACACGTTCCACTATACTTTTTAAAAATTATTGCAAAGTCTTATAATTACCAAAAACTTTTTACTGTCTATTTTTCTTAGAAGAAAATTAATACTTTTGGTTAGGACAATAATAAATTAGAGTGCTTTTTAAACAGAATGTTTCACAATTAAAAACACTTAAAGGGAATGGTGCTTAAATAAAACAGTTTGAGGTGCTATAGAAATAATCCTAAGAATAGAACTAAAATTATTTCTAATCAATATATTATTATTATATTAATAATGATTCATTGATAGTATAAGTATAATAATATTATAAGTATAATTATTTTCAAGATTGTTTTCAATTTATATTAAACTTCAATTTTTATTTAAATCTTAAAAAGTGTTAGGTTTTACAGAGCTGGACGAACTATTATAAAATTTTTCTCTAATTTCAAGCTTTTAATCATAATTTCTTGAAAATAATAAATTTAAAAATTTTGAATTTCTTTAAAGGAATTTATGATTTTATAACACAGCAAAATTGTCTGTATTTCATAGCAGCGTTTTTACTTTGATTTTGAAAGTAAATAGCTATGGAGTACTTCCTATTGCACTGATTTTTTATACTTATTTAATAAAGACTATATAAATGAAACTCTTGATTCAACGTCACTTCGAATTAAAGCCTCAATCCAAGCCTTATTAAAAGGTAAAATGACCATACAAAAGAGAAATATTAAGCGAACATGTTAGAAAAAATTAATTAATTCTTGTTTTTTGCCTTTTATATTTAAATTATTAGGGGAAGAAAACTAGAAAAAAAGTTTAGTTATTACAGCACGTTTAAAACTGCATTATAAAAAAAATAAATAATTTTCATGCTCAGCTTCATTTCTCTGAATTATAGTAATAATTTATCAAATGCAGTTTATGGGTGTGTGAATTTGTTACTTATCATCCGTCTACTGTATAATTTGGCTGTAGGAAATGGTTTCACGTGAACAGGTTGTTTCTTTTTTATTCTTTTAACAGTCTTTCTACCGTTTAATCGAGCATCTATGCTTGAAATTTTTATTACCTTTATGATTAATGGAAATCCACCTTTTTTTACGGGTAATGGTTTCGAAATACACTTCACACACCCAAATTAAAGAGAGACATCTTTTTTTCTGCCATTTCATGAGCCAACTGACATATTAAGGATCTTTTTTAAGGAACAAAAACTTAATGTTCCCTGCTAAAATTTTGCATTAAAGCTGTATAATGATATCCATATGCATAATTGCTATTTCTTATTTATTTTCCATTAAAAAAAAATATGTTCGAATTTAAGTTTTAATGGAGGATTCCCCTCTCCTCCTACAATACCATTTGACAAAGATGGGACAAAAGTGTCCCTTTTATATATTTCTTTTCTGACACTCTAATCACAAGTAAAATGCATTTCGGTATTTTTTATTTATAAAACTCTTAGATCTGCGAAATAACTGCGAAAAAGTGGAAGTTGAATTTGTTGGCAAGTGAGCCGTGTTTAGGAGATTTTATCTTTAATGCGTCGATGTTTCATGCTGTATCTCATAACCATAAATTATTAAAATTCTAAATATTATATTTTTCCCATTACTTTGCCCTAATTTAAAACAAAATAATTAAAAAGTATTAAAAATATCTTTAATAAAAATTCTACATCAAAAAGGGATAGTGTAAAAAGTTATTCCTTAATATTACTTTAGAGTTTGAAATAGCTATTAAGATTCAGATTTATAATTTTATGCGTTGACAGAATACAGTTTAATTTTACCATTTGCAGTTTTATTATTTTATTATTTACAGTTTTATTATTTACCGTTTAATAATTGTAAAACAGCAAATATATGATTTCATATTGCTGCATATTGGAGTGAGATTATTTAAAAATGTAATAAAAGATAAGCCAACTTATAGTTTCAAGTTTTAAATTTTGAATAAAATAGAAAATTGAAAAATTTACTATAAAAAAGAGCAAAATCAAAAAGGGATTCATTAATTAAGCATTACTTGTGAATGCCGTAAGGTAAGTGAAAAATAAATAATTAATAGAAAAGTTTTACTTATTGAAATCTGTGAGAAATTTATTTTCTTGCTTCTGAAATAAAAATGCATGCATAAAATAAATTTTTAAATTTCAAATCGTAACAGTTTTAAATATGGTTTATAACCGATATACTAATAAATTATATACGTATAAAAATAACTTTAACTGCATACCATTTCTAATTTTAAAAGAAAGGAATAAACTTAGCATAAAGTTTAGTAAAGTAACTAATTTTATTTCAAACCATCGAATGATTTCTATTTAATTACAACATTAGAAAATCTCAGAGAATACCATAACTTTAAAAACAACAACAATTGTTCGATTTCTTCGCGTAGGAAGCAACTTCCGAATAATACCACTGATTACTTCTGAGTGAAATCAACTCCTCAGCCACCCTTACAAATAACGCGTGGTCTCAAAATAAACAATTTGGCGACAAAGCGTAAAATCGCCAATTTCTGGGAAGCACTATTGCCACCTCCTTACAGCTTCCTGGTTAAATTTTTGTTGCGCACATCTTTAGAGATCCGGTCGTCGTAGAAGGCTAAAGAGCGCACGCATCTCTAGCAACTCTCCATTCACATTCGACGAAATATTTACGAGTGGGTGCTTGGCGAGATAAGGCGGAGAAGAAGAGGGAGAGCAACATTTATTATTTCTCCTCTCTTCTTTTTTTCATCATTTTTATTCCATCGTTCATGAATATGGTGAACGTATGGTGCAGCACGCCTACTCATTCTCATCAACAAGTCGCTTCGTAGCAGATTTAATTCTGCAAAGATCTAATTGTCACCTTGACGACATCGGGTCTCATTTTAAGGTGCTTTATATTTAATTAAAAAAAACGATAAAAATATAGATATTTTATATTTAAATACGTATATATTTAGAGCTGTTTCTTATTCGTAGAGCAATAATCTGTAAAAGGTAAGCAATTAGTTTTATTTCGCTTGTTTTTTTCTTTTGCAAGATTGGTCCATATTGCATCTTTTCTTTTTTATACAATTGTAGCATGAAAACATCTTTTATATTGACTTATAAAATACGCGTAAAAAACTCACTATATATTTCGCTGTCACTTTTTTTTTGTCAATTTTGACACACCCTTATTGTTATTGAGTTTGCGTGCATTCTCAGAAAAAAATTCAATGTTGCATCATAATACGGTGTTAATTTACATCAGACCATAATAAATTAAACCATATTTCCTTACTAAAACCAAGAAACCAGATAATCAGGCTGTAGGATTCAAGTTAATTCCTTATTGTAGTAGCAAATTTGGATGATAATATGTTTCAATGCGCACCAAGTTTTTAATAACAATTAACAAAATATTATAATCATTGACAGTATTTATTTTAATTATTACTTTACTACAAATTAGTCAATACTACATTACTACAAATACTCAAACATTTTTTAAAGTTTTCAATAAAATAAAATGGATATTCATTTCATAGGAAAAATCGATACATTAATTATTAGATCTTCATAGGCAAATAAAAATACATTATAATTCTTATAAAATATATTTTGTAAGCATTTAGCATATATTTATAAATAAGAGCTTACACAATGCTCACTAAATAATGAAGAGTTTTTCACATGGAACAAATTGAACTTTGCAAAGTTCATGAACTTTGCCTTTTCTGAAATTACAAGAAAATTATACAATTAACAGATGAATGTTCAGAAAATATGCATAAATATTGATAATTAGTCAACTTTAAATAAATTCTTGTCCAGATACATTGAATTTTTACATTATCAAATCACATGTTATGAAACTACTATTTAATAACCCTAATAGATTATAACTCTTTACGGTAGTATTAAGTTGATATATAGTTGTCACACCTGTCGTAATTAATTTATGTTAAAGGAAATAAAAATTTTATTTTCCTTTATTTATATAGGCATCTGATTTATGTAAGCACATCCTCTATTTATATAGGCATGTGATTTTTCCGCTAATTTGCGGAAATCCGTGAAATTCAAGACCGTTGATTCGCGGACTTCCGCAAATCTCAAGATCGTTCCGAGAATCAATAATTTATTTTCCGACAAAATTTTCGCGGAGCTCCACTAATCCAAAAATTTAATTTTTGTTACATAAAATCTGGTTAACGAGACATTTATTCCATCCTTACCAGCGTCCTCTTTTTCTTCTTTTTCCCATATTCTCATTCACGCGCAATCATGATTTTTTTTACGCAAATATGTTAGAGAAAAACATAATTTCGGAAAAAAAATTCATTCATAAAACTTTGAACTTAATGAACTACTACTGAAGGCAAACGCAAGAGTACAAAATTTGTTATTTTAAAAGTATTTCCGAAATGGCAAACATTTAAAAAGTTGGCTGGAAATATGGTGATTTTCTCATTTTTTTAAACTTATTTTTTTAATTCGTTGAAATTTTTTTACACAAGTCCGGTTTTTATTTAATCAATTGACTTCAATTAAAATTACCCTTTTTTTAATAAGCATCAATTAGATCGAATCAATTTATAATATGATGACATGAGAATCTCGAATCACGTATTTCAGTAATCTCTTTTCAGCGCACTCAATACCACCATATATCCGTGTTTCTATCTTATTATTAGATAAGAAAAAAATTTATTTATCTCTTCACATTTTATAAATGTTACTTTTGTGCATAAAAACAAGTCTTTTGAATATCCCCTGCTATGTACAAGAAAACAAAAAGTTAAATACTAAAACAAAACTACACATTGAGAAAAAAATTTCAGATAATTTCTTTTTCCAGCAATCACATGTCTGTATATGCAAGGAGGAAATTTTTTTTCAGAATGAAAAAAAAATGTATAGCACTTAACACAATTTGTGAAAAATTATTTTTATCATAATACTATCTTCAAAATCTGTAGACCTAATTTGGCAGTTTTGTTCAATGCAGTAAGATCAGTAAAGGTTCTTGCTGAAAGCGAATTTACGATTGAAAAGAAACTAACTACCACAAAAGGTCAATGATTTCTTGAATCATATATTTTTTTTGAAGACCAATTAAGTAACATTAGCTATTAATTTTTTCCACACATATATAATTACTAAACTCGCTACATATTTTCGTTATAATCAAAGAAATAATTCTTACAAATTCTCACTGGTATTTCATGTCTCATGTTTGAATTCTTGTCAAGAATGACGTAAAATGAAAAGTATGCACATTAGAAGTCGCAGTTTAATATCTATGTGGGGAAAAAAACGAAAATGTTCAGTAACTAATATCAATTATTGTTCAGATCATGAAAAGCTAAGCAGTAATAAAAATCATCAAAAGCCTTTCATTTTTCTAATGGGAGTCTAAGGGATTTGTCTTTCCATAAGCTTTGTGAAATAAACTGGTTTTCGATTATTTTAATCCCTCCCTTGCTCTTACAGACTTCAATTATAATTTGTCAGAATCTGAACACATTTTTACTCTTTTGCCCTCAAATGTTAATTCATGATCACAAATGATTTTCACCATCGTGTTCTATAGTTTTTTCTAAAATATATTCCTCAGTGACCGCCCTTAATATATATTTTTATAATCCCTGTAGTTAAAGTATACACATCACAAATTTATACTGAACTGTAAACATCAAACCCAGTTTGATTGTTGGAGAAAACAGAAAGTATTTTAAATGTAGTTTTCTTAGGCAATAAAATATGTTTTGAAGGTATTACTCCAACTTAACTTATCATTGAATATTAATTTGTGATCCTTAATGTGTATACTTTTCAGACGACAAGGATTTTAAATATATATATATATGAAGGATTATTTTATAACTTTTGAGGTGTTTTAGAGATGTTTAATTTATGCGATTTTTCACACTTAGCAATAAGATCTAAAGCTTTCAGAGGTTTGGGAGACCGATAATAAATTACGACAAGTATTTTTAAACACCCTATGCCAGAAAATCAAGAAATAAGCTTGTACTTGTATCAATTACTTAAATTACTATTTTAATGTTAACTGCATAAAATTTCCTAAACCTAGGGTAAATATTTGTGGAGATATGGACATTTTTATAAAAAAATTAATTTCTTTGCCTTACGTTTTTTTGCTATATGAAAAGAATGAACNTTTTTTTTTTTTTTTTTTTTTTTTTTTTTTTTTTTTTTTTTTTTCCTATAACTTTAAAAATATGTAATGGAATAAAAAAATATTTTTGGAGCAATTTAAAATTAATTACAAAATTATTTATTTAAGATTTTTAAAAAAAAATTATTAAAAACTGCGCAAGATAATAAGTATTTAAGGTAGTTCTTTTATACTGCCCATGAGCAGAAAAGTATTTTTCAAAAAATTTTCTTCATTTTGTAGTGAATCGTATTTGACAACGAATAAATAAGTTTCAGGCAATCTTCTAACTAGTTTTTGTACTATTTGTAAAAAAAAACTCAAAGCGATCAGGGGTTTTCCTGAGATTTCCTTTTGAACTATTTACCAAGATATAGTAAAAATGAGACCGGCATGGTGGGAGATCATCCCCCATAAAATTACGTTTTCTTTCTTTATACTTATATAAGGAAAGAAAACGTATTTCTTATACTTAAATTTCTTTCCTTATACTTATATATTTCTTTCCTTATATATTCATCGCGTTTTGATTTCCGGATGTTTATTGTAATATATTATCATTTGTTAGTAAATTTTGTTTTATGAAGCAAAATGAAATTTGCGGGAAACTCCTGATCGTTTTGAGCTTTCTTTTTAAAGTACAAAAACTACCTTAAAAATTGCTTGAAATATTTTAAATTTTAAAGATATTTAAATTAAACTTTTTTCATTAGTTTCCAAAGATGATTGATTCATTACAAAATTAAGAAGAAGTTTTTTTAATTTTTTTCTGAGCACGTGCAGTAGGAAAGATATACCTTAAATACTTATATTTTGAGCAGTTTTTTTAATTTTAAATTTTCGATTTTTTTTTAAATTTTAAATAAATAATTTTGTAATTAATTTTGAATTGCACCAAAAATATTGTTTGATTCCATTGAATATTTATAAAGTTATAGCAAAAAACGTAAGACAAAAAAATATCTTCTTTTTATAAAAATGCTCTTATTTCCATAAATATTTACTCTAGGTTTACGAAATTTTATGCAGTTATTTAATTAACAGTTATATATATTTATAGTGGTCGGAAAAACTACATTTTCTTTGTAGTTAACTGCAACTACAACTGCATTTTTTTAAAATGTAGCTACTACAAACTGCTTCACTACTTTTAAGAGGCAAACGTAACTTGAGAGCTTAATTTTCACCTATATTTAAAATGGTTTTGAAAAAAGAGTTGGCTTGGTTAAATGTGAGGCATTATTAAGAGATTTTAATTCATGTTTACATGAAATAGTTTTTTTTTATTCTGAAAAACACCTTTTCGAATTTATTCTTTTAACCTTCAAACTCCATGCTTTACTCGACAGTGAGAATTAAGAAATGTTAAGTGAGATTTAAGAAATGCTAAGAAATTATCAAATATTTGTGATTTAAGCGATCAATGCTTTTTTATATCCTCTAAGAAATAAAGTTCAGTTCGCAAACAAAAACGGACCATCCTGAATAACTTTTGATATCATGATCGGATCTTCACTTTCTAGTGCACAATCTTCATGGTTTGAGGGGATGATCGCAAATATACTGATTAATTAATGCAGACGATATTTTAAGTTACAATATCAGACACAAAAACGTACTTTATAGTACCTGTGAAATCAAATTTTAAAAAAGTAAGATATTTAAAATTCGATTTCTAAGAAACAATTCGACCAATTTCTCTAAATTTGTTCATTTTATCATTAAAATTATATATTTTAAAATAGTGTAAAAAATTTTATACCTTACAATTCATAATTTTTTCGACAGTTATTAAGTGAAATAAGTGAAAAATAATAAATATTTACTTAAA